AGTGAAGTCATAGTTCACAAACATGTGACCAGGATACCATTTTGGTGCCAACATTTTAAATTTTGAATAACCTACATAAGTAGGTAAAAGCCTGGAGCTTCACACGCTTTTTTTTTTAATTAGGTGAAACATGTTAGTCTTGTTTTTTGAAAAAAATGTTTTATTTTATTTCACAAATGTATTGTTTTATATAGTTATAAATAAAGCTGTTTATATCCTGTTCCTGGATTGTTCCACACACATTACAATTCCAGAGCTGTCCAGAAACTCTAGAAAATGTAATTGTTTTTCATAGATTCAATTTATTCAAAATTACCAATTATACTCCACATATCCACCCACATGAAGCACAACTTCTAACATACTGTGGGCTGTTTCATTTTAAATATGTAGATTATTCTGTCATCACAAATAAGAGACTTAAACATATCACTAAAGAGCACTAAACAACGCGTTAGTATGAAACATTATAAGGAAAAAGGATTCACAAGTACATTTACACACTCTTTAACCTTTCTATTGCGAGTAGCACAATTGACCTACTAAATTCATCAACAGAATGAAAAGGAATAGTCAGGATAATTAGAGCCTGGATACAATTAGTTGGACTGTACTTTTAAGCTATTCTCTGCACTGGTAACAGATCTTTTCATACTTTCTTCACAAAATCATGGCTATTGATTCAGCTACAGCTGACAAATTACATTAATCTTATTCCATTGAAAAATGGTGCTTAATTACAGATGTCCTCCGTCTTTTTCTGCTACAGTTTATGACAATAAACAGACAGCGTTTTTTTCTTTCAGACACATCAACACCATATTGATCAGAGCCTACATGAATTGCATTGATAGTACAAAGGGGTAATTTGAGGAAATAATATGTGACAATGTGAAAATGACTAATAAATAGTTGAGAGATATATTCTAAAATTAATACAAATCTATCATACTATGGTGATGCTAGGTTCTTGGGGACTGAATAAAATAAAGTATGGGGAATATGACAATAGAGTTATGGGAGGAAACAAGAAAAATACTTAATGGGTAACTCTTATTTCTCTGTTTGCATAATAATTTACATTTTTGAATAAAATAATAAAATACCATATAACTTTTTTCAGGATATGTTCCCATTTCTTTTAAATGTATATAAAAATTTTTACATCAAAAACCAATTCAGACAAGGAAAAACCACTGCAAAGATTGCATATAATTAGGAGATATTAATAAACATTTATTTCTCCTTCTTTGTATGTTTTCTTTATACCGGCTTTCAGATGAAACAGACAATAGTTTACAATAATGATTGAGCTAAGTTGGTATTACCCAATAACAAAATAAAGAGGTGTGAATTCTTAATTTAATTTGATTTCTTAGCCCTCACAAATATATATGTGTTATACACAGGGTTACATAAACACAATATTAAAAATTCTACAGAGTGATGATTTCCCTTTAACCATTACAGTCATGTGAAACTATAAAAACAGAGACATTTTATATCTAAGAAAGGAGGCTGTATACATACATGGAATAATGTTATGAATTCAATGGAAACAAAAACATGTTAAGTTGTGTAAGATGGGGTTGTGATGTGTTATAAGTGAATGTGGAATGACAACTATGGTAAGCGTATATTGTTAAAAAAGACTTATATGCAGGGTCAGGAAATTTAGTAACCCTTAAAAGAGAATGAAAGGGCAACCCAAATCCTTTTTTATTTCCTTGTATGCTCTTGAGTTACTTTCACTACTCCTACTGTCCTACTGTATTCCTGTTATCCATGTGCATTTTCTTTTCTGTCCTTCAGTTGCTAAATTTTCTCATGTACAGTCATCCTTTAGTT